TTACTGACAATCACGAAGAAACCAGACTGCGTGTGTGCAGGGAACTTGAAGAATGCTATTTGACCGAAGGAAATGAATTATTGGAAAAAAATTGTGACTTGTAATGGGATTTGGATCCGTCATTATAAGGAAAACAGCAAAGCACGTGGAAGCATCCAAATTCTCTAAGCAGAGAAAGTTTCAACACCCAACAATCGGTTGGTAAAGCGATGTTAAATGTCTTTTGGGATGCCAAAGGTCCAATTTCTTCGTGATTTTTTCAGAACACCAGTATACTGTAAATGGTCAATGCTACGGAAAGACGCTTCAAAAGAATATGAAGCTTGCAAGCTACTGAAGAAACGACGAGATTTGCAGGGAGAAATAGTGCTTTTTCTTCAAGATAACGTGCAACAACATACTGCGAAATTATCTCTTGAAACCATCAAAAGGCTGGAAAATTCTACCACATCCACCCATATAACCCAAACTTTGCACCACCTGACTCCCTTCTGTTGAACTTTTGTTCTTTGCAGAGTCAGGATTGAAAGAGTTTACTTAGAGTTGACTTTCTTTATGGAATTCAGTTATATTTCCGCGGACGAAAACTTGTGCTGATATAATTGCAAATAACGTCCACAACAGTTGGGTTACATTTATGCATATTGAACAACGAGAAATTTATTAAACAAATATCAAAGATGTTAAAGTATCTTTTTATTTTTTGGTAAAGCACAGAAATTATTTCCCTTTTTTTCTGTGACGCCTTTAATTTTTTTTAGTTTTGAGCGGACCGTTTAGCGAGATTTCGTTGCTGATAACATAAAAGTATTATAGTGATTTGCCGTTATCTGTTTTTGAATTCTATTATTATATGTAATAATTAGTTCCTTGGGTGGAAAAATGTGTCAGTTCGCACTTATGCAGCATTATGCGAATTACGAATTATATTAAAATTAATGCAGTAACTAATTTAGGCGCGCATTGCCGGATGGGAATGTCCATGTAACGACTAGAATACGGTGCGACGTAATGGTTCCGGTACGTACGTCGCGGGGTTTCGTTCGTGAGATCGCAATAAATTCCGACACCCTGATCGGGAAGTCGTATCTTTTTCAATTGTAGCGCGCTAGAGCCGGACTTAATGATTTTGCGCAGCTCGGTATCGTTCTCTTGCGCTGCGGCTAACGTTTGATTGTCGACGGACTTCCCAATCGCTTCTATTCGGGATAGAGTATCGGCTACGTTATTGTCTATTCCTTTAATGTGTCGGATATCGGTCGTAAATTGTCCGACGTAGTCTAAGTGTCTAAACTGTCTCGGCGAACACTTGTCGAGGTTTTGATTAAACGCGTATGTAAGGGGTTTGTAGTCGGTGTAAGTAGTGAAATCTCCACCTTCGACGGCGTATCTAAATCGTTTCACCGCGGTGTACATCGCGAGTAGTTCTCGGTTGTACGCGCTGTACTTGTTGTGCGAGGGATAGCAATTTTGTCATAAAACCTAACGGTTGCCAGGTTTCGTTAACGCGCTTTTGGAGTACCACTCCTATGGCGTAATCGGATGCATCGACGGCGAGGCTGACGGACGTGCCAGGAATCGGATGCGTTAACGTTGTCGCGTTAGCTAAGGCACGTTTCGACTCGCGGAAGCTATTTTCGGTTTGTTCGGACCACTCGATAGATGCGTTGCACTGTGTTGCATGCGTTGCACCTTTCAGCAAGTACGTTTCGTTGTTTCGTTGAGTGGTTGAAGGATTCTGTAAAAGTTGATCATACCGAGGTACTTTCGTAGATCTTTAACGGTCGTGGGTAGCGGTACTTTAATTATTGCGTCGACGCATTCGGCTAATGGCTTTATCCCCTCAATGGTAACCGTGTAACCGAGAAATTTTATTTCGCTGACGCCGAATTCACATTTCGCGAGATTCATTACGACCCGATATTCGTCGAGGCGTTTAAACAAAATCCGCAAGTGTTCGCGGTGTCGTTTTTCGTTTTCGGACGCAATTAAGAAATCGTCTATGTACGCGAAGATAATTACTATATCCGGCCTATTGTCAATCGCGCATTGATACATCATGTCTTGCGCCATCTTGCATCTATTTAGATTAATTTGTAGTATTTTCATTTTCTTTCCTGGCTACTTTGCCTCAACATTTTCCTATAGTTGGGGCATGCTAGTGACCCCGTCACGTGATTAAATCTAGCACCTATTTCCTTACTGCATATAGCACAGCGAAGCTCACTTGGGCATACAGGTACTGTTCGGAATTTTAGTTGGCCGTCCGTTTATGACACGGACAGGCCCATTCCTCTCGTTAGGAAATTCCGAATTATATGTCCTCTCAGGGCGGTAAACGTAATGACTAGAGGCCAGGAAAAAACCCAGAAAAGAACCAGCCGGAAGGGCACGGGGAGAGAAAAAATCCAATCGGCGGGAGGAGAGAATCAGGAACGGGGGAGTTCAGTTCATCTTCAACCATCCGACAGTACAGACTTAGGACGACAGTAGTCCTCACTTAGTTCGGTTAAGTGCTACAACTAGTACAAATAAAGTGCCGTCTAAATCGAACACTCCTGTTATTTCATCTCCTCCACCTTGAACGTTAAGTCATTGGAGGTACGCGATTTCGACCGATAGGTTTGGCCTGACCGGTTGCTCTTTAGTCGATAATATGTAACAGGCATTGTGTGATCCTTTTCTCCGCATTTCCTGCAGACCTCTTTGCCCGGACTTATCGTTCTGCATTTATTTGCCGTATGCCCAAAGATGTGACACCTAAAACATTTAATCACGTTCGGCAAGATCCTTATCGTGGTTATGGTTAGGCCCGTCCTCATTCTGATGTTAACGCCACCCTTATCAACGTAAACTTTCGGTAACACCGCAATCGCCGACTGTGTGCCCCACGGTGCCCGTCTCATTGTTTTGACCTCTACTTCCCTACTGTCTTTAATTTTTAGCTCAACGACTAAGGACTCGACAAGCTCTTTCCTACTTACGTAGGCCTCTTGTGATTTCGGCTGCAATCGTTGGCATGTTTGAGCGGCGTTTCTAAGCCCAAACATCATATTGGTTGCTTCGAATAGACCGAATGGTATTGTGATCGCTGTCTTCGGTACGTCTTCCAGCGCGATCGGAATTTGATGGTAAACGCGAACGAGATCGATTTTGGAAAATATGCGCTTACCAAGGAGATTCTGCGCGAAGTCCTCGATGTGCGGTGGTGAGTCTGAGGTGGTGCGGATGTTCAATGCCCGATAGTCGCCACACTGTCGAATTCCTCCGTCCTTTTTCGGTACGATGTGTAAGGGTGATCCCCACAGGCTTCTCGATGGCCGCATCATACCTTGTTCGATCATTACTTCGAATTCCGCCTTCGCCTGGTTGAGTCGATCGGGGGCGAGGCGGCGTGGTTTGGCGTGGACAGGAGGTCCGGGCGTCGTGCTGATGTAGTGTAGTGTAGTGCCGTATTGCACTTCTCTGAAATACTGGCGGTCTCGTGAGATCGAGGAATTCCGCCAGCAGTTTGTGGTACGGTGAATCTCCGGTGATTGTTTTTATCAATGTCATGGCGGCGAATCCTTTCGTCGATAGTCTGCTTGTTGTGTCGAGGAGCCGTTTGTTGCAAGGGTCTACGAGCAGCTCGTACTGGCTCAGAAAATCAACACCGATGATAGGCGTTTGCACATCGGCCATTACAAAACGCCATTTGAAAGCTCGGCGTAGCGATAAATTGAGGGGAACTGTAACGGTATCGTATGTCGCGAACCGCGTTCCGTTGGCCGCGAACAGTTCGTAGTTGGTTTTGCTCGTGTTTCCGCGGATCTTACTGCGCGGATAAACACAAGTGTCAGCACCGGTATCCAGTAAATACGAGGTGAAAATATTTCAAGACAGGAATTTTTATTCCAATTAGCTACAGAGCTAATTTAAGAGTTGAGTATACAGAATCGTGGGAAGAAAATCATGCGATAAAACTATCAACAAGTTCAGATACATTACCACGAAAAGCTTGTCAAGTAAGAAATTGTAAAGGTTACAAAACTACGAAAATCTGTCCAACATGTAGTGGCACGCTAATAAATTCAAATCTTATTGTTGTTTTGCCTCGTAGGACACAAACATATTGTATTAATAATCAAACTCCGAGGCAAAACAATGTCGCCGTTACTTTCAACCGTCAAACGCAGCCGAGTTCAAATTTTTCGACTATCCCCCGACTGATATAAATAAACGAGCGAATTGACGAGCGACAGAGTTTATCAAGCGAGAGAGTTTAGCAATCGAAGATATCAACGCATCAAGGTGTTTACGAAGTTTCTCGACACACGCGCGTATTTATCACGATTAATATTAGACCAGGACTCGTGCTTTGTATCAAGGCATCACAAATAAAGTGCTCACGACACTTAGAATATTATATCGATATTTGAACTACCTCATCCTCTACAAACATACGGAAAATATGTATCCGGAAAATGTACATTTGATAATAAGATAATTTGTAAAAAATGCAGCGGAGTTGAATAAGATATCTCTATATAAATTAAAGTGTAATTTTATGAATGAATTATAATGAATTTTATGAAATGAATTACGTACGATTTGATAAAAAGAGGCGTATTTACGAATATCTTTTGTAGCCATTGTAAAAATATAAATAAATTGAAAACAATAAACAGAGACCCATGATATAATAAATTACACGGTCTGATATTGCCGAAAACTAGTATCTATATTCAATGATTTTATCAGTTTCTTAGTCTTCGTGTTCTATTATATTATTGATCCTCTTCTCTAATTCACATAGTACGGTTGTCTTCTTTTTGCATTTCAATTTCCTATAAAGTTCTTTAATACTTTGCCGTTCGCATAAATTTACTAGTGATTTTAATCAATAGCTGCGTGATACTAACGTGTTGTCACCGAACACTAATATTTCGTTTGCAACATGTTGTTGCTACCGGGAGCGAAAGTGTTAATATCCGCTACTGCTATGAGGTTTTGAAGCTCTTTCATATTATGTTGCTATTTCCATATAGCAGTAATTTTTGCGATTAAAGCCTTGTCTTTGTAATTGTCGGAAAGAATGACGTCCAATAGATAGCGATCTTACGATCGCTACTACGATCTAATTCTTACGATCAAAATCGTGAAATCTAATTACCGCGATCAAATGTACGCGCTTGAATCGCGGCAGATCATCTTCCACGGATCGCCCACACGATTTTCTTCAAAAACGTTCACGTTATCGGATATATATGTGCATATTTCTTTTTCTTGTTCTTTCCTTCCTTTAACTTGTTTTACAGCTACTCGGTTTGCATATTTAGTTAGTTTATCTTAATTATTAACATTCCCTTTCACATACACATATAAACACTGTCGCACGACTTTGCTCGTACACTCCGCGCCACATATCGTATTTGTACCTTCTTAGTTCGTCTACGATTCTATAAAAATGTTACAAAAGACCATCTTATTTCTACCACCTGTTAGATCGAATAATTCGGTCGTCTTTGTTCGACGGTCTATATTTTATTACATTTATGAATATTACAAACTTAAATTTTTAAAGATGTATTTGAACTATTGACGAATCAACGAGAAATTATTCATTAGCTTAGGAAATATATCGTAATACAGTGAGAAACAATGAAAGATCAACCATTATCGTGCCTCGTATCATCATAGTCGACAGATTCGTTTACTTTTGAGTGTCTTATCGTTTAGACAAGCGGCTGGACAAAGTAGATCGTTTCTTCGCGTCGTCTCGCAGGCGAAACGAAAACATTGAGACTATCGCTTGTATAATAGAAATCGGCGCTGCCTCGGCACTGTGCTGTGTTTTTATATTCTTTTCTGTAGGATAATTTATGAAGCATTCGTCAAGTTTCACCCTCGGTTTATCCAGTATCTCACTAATAGATTGTTTCGTTCCTTCCACCTTGTTTGTTTCGGCAAGTGCAAACCTTACAATTCTCTTTGAATCCTTTTATAACGAATTAATATTTTCGCAAAATCTCTTCTAAATTGGCTAAAGCTACCAGTGATTGGAAGGGTTTGAAAATTTTATAGCTAAAATGTTCTCAGGCGAGTAAGAGCAGGCTTCTCCCTTTAAAGGTTCCAGAAAGGATGTTACAGCACTTCCCCGATTTACCAATATTCGAATATTATATCATAAATCGTCGTGCTGAATTTGTCCATCAGCTTTCGCAGGTTTTAATGTACAGATGAGAATATTTTTCGGCGTATAAACGTCGTGCCTTTGTGCTATTGCCACCTACCGACGGTAGCAAAAATGCATGTACGAATGTTCTCTAACTCTATACATGTTATAATAAAAATATAAAATATACGTATCTTTATTCCATTAGGGTCAAATTTACGTGGCATTGTGATGATAACTTGTATGTAAAAACGTTAATACCAAAATGAGTGAGTGAATAAATATAGTGGAAATCAATAGTTTCTGTAATATTGACGCTTGAAGGAGAAATGTTTGGACCTACGGTAAGGAGTTCTCCAGAGACTGACTCCTCCGGAGGACTTCTTCCACGAAGAGCGTTTCCGTTTCTTTCCATTAAAAGCTAATAACGAGACGTGCCGGGCACAAACAAGTCGGATTAAAGCAGCGAAAATTATCATCGTGTCACATCGAACGTCCACGCTACATGTGAATAGTATAGCAGAGACACGACAAATAATGTTACGGGATATAGATATATATATACATGTAGTATCGTGGAAAAGGGCCTAAGAAACATGAACAATGTCGCGAGAGCCGAGGTGCCGTCGGGTCCATCAATGTGTCGTTGGTATTTTCAATTGTATAGTTTTGTAGAAAAGGCCTACGTGACTCTGGCAACGAGCGTCTGCGGAACACGTGCGTGGTGGGCCTAAGAAAAGACAGAGGGATGCTAGAACGGCCAGAATGTGAGTCTAGAAGCGACAGTGTCGATGGAGAGATCAGTTGAGAAGCGGCAGTGCATCTGTTGAGAAGTCAGAGAGAGTCAGTGGAGAAGTGATATCTCAGAACAATGACTGACTTCAAGGCAGGAGAAGTAGATTTGACTGACGAGCAGGTGGCTCAGATGCAAATACTTGAGCTGAAAGGCGAACTGAGAAGACGATAGCTGAGACTAGCGGGCAGAAAACGCGAGCTGGTAGCGCGATTGCTTGCTGCGTTACGCTTAGAGCGGGAACACGGAACATGCGCGAGAAGATGATCCAGATGATGACAACGACGGCGATTTAGAAGACGACGACGACGATGAGATTGGCGTGCTTGGGGACCGTTTAGACATTAACGGTCCAGGAAATCGCAATCTCAATAATCAGGATTTGATTACGATTTGACAAACAGACTGATGGTTACAAAGGCGCGCCGGATATATTGAGAGTCAATATAGTAGAACAAACCGACGAGATAGACTTATCGTACGTACAGGAACCTCATTATCGTGAAGCGATTCGCGATAACATCAGAGGGTATAAGCAGGAGAAGAAGTGGGACGCCGGAGTAACTGCAGAAAGCGCTTTAAAAAGTGACAAATCCGTAATACGAAGACCGCGAAGACTGGCACCGTCTGAGAAAAAAGAGATGGACGATTTGATGAACTTACGGACAAACAAAGGCGTTATAAGACCATCAAACTGGAAAAAATGTCGCTTTATACAGAAGGTTCAGAGTTTCTTGGGACTCACGGGGTATTTTCAAAAATTTATTAGGGGCTACGCGAAGGTTGCTAAGCCTGATTGGTACAAACATGTCGACCAAGTTCAGGAGTATTTAAATTATACAATAAACAGAAGCACGGGAAAAACTCCTTTTCAGCCACTTGTCAGGGTCAAAATGCGAATTAAAGGAGATGCACAGGTTAGGAAGTTAATCGACGAAGAGTGGGCTGTGAAGTTCGAAGAACAATATCGCGAGCTACGCGAGGTCGCAAAAAGGAAGATCGCCGCAACTCAAGAAGAGAATCGAAGAAATTATGATAAAAGAAGGAGTGCGAAACAGTACCGACGGAGGGATTTAGGGGCCATAAAGAGAAACCAGTTTGGCTCAGGGTTAAAACTAGGAGGAAGATTCTTGATTCTTGGATTCTTGCTATTTCAGTACCTCACATAACATTGTTTCATTTTGAAGCAACAATGTGTGCAATGTGTATTGTTTATGGTGTATATGGCAAGTACTAATATAATACTTTGCATTAGACCTCGGGCTCATTTATCGAGCAATGGAGCAATATCACCAACTGATAGATTTCCATTAAGTTTCAGATTCTCTGCCTTTTTCGGTTCCTAGGTGGCTTCAATACTTTAATTATTAAGGGATCTCTTCAATCCCTTAATTATTAAGGAATTAATTATTATCTTAGGTAGTTCCTTCAATACTGTTGCGTCGGGCGACACTCTACCTAGACCAGGCCACACACCGCGGGCAAGATAGGAACCAGATGTCCGCTCATCCTTATTGCGTACACTCAATAGTCTTAAGGACCCATCGTAAATCTTAGAAATTCGCTAGCTAAGTTCGATGGAACAGTTTGGAAAGAACTAGATACAAGCTCCAAACCTGGCAGGACACCAGTTCATAATATTCTTAGGGGTGTGTCAGGTCCGACAGGATATAGTTCGGTTCGGGGCGCGATGGAGAGCGGACGTGTTGACGGGTTGCTCCCGCTAGCCGAGTGTATGTACGAGGATGTAGGAGCGTTTGAGTTCGGTGTGATTCTAGTAGGGTGTAATGGGTTAATGAGACGGGAACTGTAATAATAATTGTATGGAAGTAGTGAAATGAAATTAGGGGTATGAGTGGACTGAGGTGACAGGAGAATGCATGGGAGTGAAATAGTGTTGGGTGATGCGGGGGAGTGTGAGTGTGTGGAAATGGAAATAGAGTTGGCATGTATGATGATTGAGTGGGTAAGCAACAAGACGTTTGTGCGTAATTGGGCGATAATATCCTCACTGAACAAGAATAAGTAAGTGGAGGATATAATAAGAAGTGTGCGAGAAACGAAAAGTACGGTTAGTAATCGTTAATTTGAATTTATCCGGTATTAGCGACTTCGGATAAAGTCAAATAAACATCTAGACAAGACTCCGTTCGACCATAATGGCAGATCCACGCGTCACGCTAATTAGTCGCTTATATACATACGCGATATTGGATAATTGCAAATAAATAAACAATAATGTGACTATGTACAGTCGACTCGATGTAAGTTTCTATTTTTAAGGGATAAAGTCGGGCCGGCCAAGGTTCTTATACTTATAATATTTATTTGGCCATCTATTTATTGTGATACGAGCCGAACTAAGTTCCGTGGAATGAATAAATAAGTAATGGGGTGCCGCGTAATGAGGGGGCTGCAGGAGTTACGTGGTGATTAGTAGGTTGGAGTATGTAGCGGTTGGATGTATGCACTGCTATAATATTTTAATATTTTATTATTTTATTTATTCTTTTAGTTTATTTTATTTATTTATAACTGTGTATTGATTAACTAGTAAATGTTTTATTCTTTTTGTTTATTTATTATTTATTATTTATTTATTGATTTATGGTATTTATTACTTATTGTTCATTATTTAATATATATTGTTGTTATTTATCTATATTGTGGCGTTTTGGGCGCGCATCATCGGGTCTTTAGCAGTATGCAGGCGTTTGACAGGGGAAATTTAGATAGCACAATTACTATAATATTATCATTGTTTGGTTTATTTGTTGACGACCTGGCGAGTTTATGGACAATGATTGGATACTTTTGGACGGTATAGGGGCAGGATGTTGACAACTTGGCGATGTTTATGGACTTGTTTACTATATACAATATGGATAGGCGGTCTAAGGTAAATAAACGTACGGCGCAGGGGTTTTCGGAACCCCCAGACCCCGTCGGGGACACGAGTGGCTTACCAGGCTCGACCCGACGGTTATCATGTTACTGGAAGAACGGCGGGAGGAGGTGGAACCCCAAGCACCCCCTTGTGCGGTAATAGCTACTGGGGAAAAGGAGAAGGGCAAGCTAAAGAAGACGACAGCGGGAGGAGAGAAGCCGAGGATGGTGTCTGACGTGAAACCGAATGAGAATGTGATAATCTCGGTTATTCCGAGGAAAGATGGGGGGAGTGAAGATTTCTGCCCCTTTAATCCGAGTAAGAGGCTTCAGAGGAGTCCTATGATTAGTGAAAGGATGGAGGTTGGAGTGGTCGAGGAATCACAGGGTTCCTTTGCGACTGGAGGGAGCGACCACAGTACGCCAGTAACGGGGAAAGGGCTGGCCTACGCTAAAATGCTGGCCAGGAGGGTGGTTGAGAGGACCGTCAGCGCGAAATCAGCGAGATCGGCTATGGATAGTGAAGCCGAGGATAGTGCGAGAGACGATAAGCAGATTAGCGATGTTGACGACGAGGACTTTGTGATCTCCAGGGCTAAGTTGAAAGGGCTCACACAAGCCATGGCAGGGGTGGTTAAAATGTTCAATGTTGAAGAGGTTAAAGTTGGACAAAGAGAAGGATGAAGGGATAAGGGAGATAGGCAACATGATGAAAGGTATCCTGTCTACCTTGGAGCAGTGTGGGGAACACAAGGAAAGAAGAAGAAGGAGAAGGAGAGAGCCTGTCGAGGTTCAAAAAAAGGGCAGACAGGGCAGAGATGGAGAGGGAAGTGACGATACCCAAGGGCGGATATTCAAAAAGAAAGCTAATATCGCCGGCTGAACGTGCGAGAGTTAAGGAGTATAAGAGGCCCCGAAGAGGAGAGGTCACATACGCCGAGGCGTGTGGGAGGGAGACTAGAGTGATAAGGGGTGACTAAAGCGAGGACTCCGAAGGATGGATGAGGGTAGAAAAAAGGAGGAGGGAAAGGAGAGCTTCCTTAGAGTAAGCTACCTCGATGGTGCGCCCGGGAAGCAACCGGCGGGTTGGTACCGAAGAAAGGGGCGTACCAAGAAACAGGAGGAGGAAGGAAGCCATTCTAGGCAAAGTGGAGGAAGGCTGCGAATGGCTTCATGTATACAAAAAGATAATGGCGGTGAGGAGCTCATTGGAGGGAGCCACGGGGGTTCGTAGGACGAGAGCAGGCCACATCCTCATTGAATTCGACAGGACGACCCTCATTGAATTCGACAAGATCGTGGTGGTTAGCGAGGCGGTGGCCAAATTGAGAGCCGCTTTGACGACGCGGACAAGGCGGAACTGCTGCAGAAGTGTATGGTGGAAACTTGTGACAAGATGTTGAAGAAGGTGAGCTGTACGACAAACAAGAAGTATAGCAATCACTGGTGGAATGAGACGATCGCAGAACTGAGATCTCAGGCTCACAAAGCATTGAGGAAAATAACTAGAGCAAGGAGGAAGGAGGACAGTGGGATCGAAGCCCTTATTAGCAACTACAAAGGGCTAAGAAGACAGCTGAAGAAAGAAATAGCTGAGACTAAAAAGAGAGCCTGGGCCGGATTCTGTGAGATACTAGAAAGGGACTCGTGAGGAAAGCCGTATCGCACGATTATGAACAGATGTGGCAAGAAAGGGCTTCCTAATGACATGCCTGTTAACAAGGTGAAAGAAATTTTAAAAGGCTTGTTCATCATAGGACGCAGACCGGAGCTAAGGGAGGTCGAAGAGCATGACAGGGAGGATATCACCTATAACACGAAGCTTGAGGAGGAAGATGTTAAGAAAATCATTGTTAGAATAAATGAAGTAGAATGAATGGAAAGAAGGCGGTGGGAATAGATGGGGTCCCAGAGGATATTGTTAAGCTGCTAGTATACAACCGAACAGAGCTTCTCACTAATGTGATTAACAATATTACGGACTCTGGTAGGATCCCGTGATGCTGGAAAACAGCAAGAGTCATATTGCTCAGGAAACCGGGTAGGGGACCCTAAGCTCCCTAATGCTTACTGCTGCTGAACATTTTAAATTGGAGAACCGGGTCGTTGAGAAGATGGCCGCAGAGGAGCGGTTGTGGAGGAGAGGTTTCATGATTTTTGTACAAAGGCGATGAAATGCCGGCTTTCTAAAGAAAGGGTGATAGAAGTAGGGAGAACAAGGGAAGGAAGGAGGAGAAGAAGGACCAGAGTCGAGGAGAGAAGATAAAGGATTGGGTGCGTGGTGTAGAGGCCAACCTGAAGTAATGTCGAATGACTGTACCGGGTTGGTGCCTCGAGTACCGTAGCAGAGGAAGAATGAGGAGGGGTTTTTAGTGGGTATGGCGATGTCATCTGGCCGAGTCCTACATAACCCAGAGACGCGGGTCTTTGGGTATGCGTAAAAGCATTTTCCCCTCCTCGCTAAAAAAAAAGTCCAACAGGATATGCTAAATAGCATATAGTGAAAGAACAAATAAAGACAGCATTTTATCTTATCATTGATCACCGTATAACGGATCATATAATAAAATGTACGAAAGAAGAAGCATTTAGACTATGGGGGACTAAGTGGGAGCTAGATACAACAAAACTAGATGCATTTATTGCTCTGCTATATGCCCGCGGTGCATATCAGGCAAAGAACTTAGATGTCTCATGTTTGTGGAATAAAATTTGGAGACCTGCATTTTTTTCAAAAACAACGAGCAGGAATGATTTTACTGAAATTATGAAGTTTACAGGATTTGATAAGAAGAGCGAAAGAAGCCAGCGTTTACGAACCAATAATTTTGCAATGGTATCTACAGTGTGGGACCGATTTATAGAGAATTCACAAAATTGTTATAAATCTGGTGCGTATATTACTGTTGATGAGCAGTTATTTCCGTCGAAGACTAGGTGTAGATTTACCCAGTATATGCAGAACAAACCAGATAAATTCGGCATAAAATTCTGGCTGGCGTGTGATGTCAATAGCAAGTATACAATAAATGGATTTCCCTATTTGGGAAAGGATGAGGAGAGAGAAAATTCAATTCCACTTGGAGAATTCGTTGCTCTGAAGCTGATGGAACCATTCACAGGATGTGGAAGGAACCTAACAACAGATAATTTTTTTACGATTGCATCACTGGCTACAAAGCTATTCGCAAAAAAGAACTACAATCGTTGGAACAATCCGTGAAAATAAACGGGAATTGCCAAAGAGAGCCAAAGATCGAAAGGACAAAATGACTCTGTTTTCAAGCAAATTTTATATTTCGAATCAAATTTTTTTACGGTATATAAACGCAAACCAACAAAAAAAGTGTTTGTGCTAAGTTCCATGCATAAAGCGATAGAAATTGAAAAAAGCAATAAACGTATACCGGAAACGATTAGATTTAATAATACAAAATTTGGAGTAGATGTAGTGGACTAAATGTCAAGGAAATACAGCGTGAAGTCAAAATCTTGTAGGTATTTCTCCAGGTATTTTTCAACATTTTGGACCTAGCTGGAATAAATGCCTGGATTTTGTATAAAGAAACAACCGATGAAAATATTTCAAGACGGGAATTTTTATTCCAATTAGCTACAGAGCTCGCTGTCGAGTATACAGAATCGTGGGAAGAAAATCATGATATAAAACTATCAACAAGTTCCGATACGTTATCACGAAAAACTTGTCAAGTGAGAAATTGTAAAGGTTACAAAACCACAAAAATCTGTTCAACATGCGAGAAATATGTATGCGGCAAATGCACATTTGATAATAAGATAATTTGTAAAAAATGCAGCGGAGTTGAATAAGATATCTCTATATAAATTAAAATGTAATTTTATTTAAGTCTATAATTGAAATTAAATAAATGTAAATTTGGACGAAATTTCCTGACAGATCACCATGTTATATACATTCAGTTATAAATTAATCATTATTTAAGTTAAATTATAAAAACTATTACTTTTTAAATCAGCGGTCATTTTGACCGCGCCCAGTAGGAATAGGTAGCACGAAATGTCGGTAGGTTTAGTGTTAAGCCGTCGGCGTTCGCCGCGTTTACGGACGGCTGGTCTCCTTTTCCTGTTTCCACTTACACGGGGATCGACACTTTCTCGCACGTTCGCGGAATAGTTTGTGATAATAACACAGGCCGGAATCATGCGTCCTTTCCAGCGACCTGGGACGGCTCCGACTTCTTGATCGCCAGTGTCGACGCGGACGGTGGTTAATGTTCATCGCACTCACTTCGACCCTTAATTGGTTTATCTGGTCGTTAAACGTATTAAAAAGCGCGAGCCAGGGAGCCTCAGCCGGTTCCGCGTGCGCCGGGTGGTCCGCTATCGTTGCTACCTGCGAAGTATGTCCCGTATCTCCTTTGAACTCCTCCGCGATGAGGTCCGCTGATCGCATCGAATGCGCCTTATGCGGGCGGCGAGCTTTCTCAGATGGTGATAAAATTGGGACGGTTTCCTATCGCCCATTTTTTCACTCTCCACCAACTTTTTTACGCGATCGCTATCCGAGTCCGTAAGGATGCGAATGAGTTCATTTTTTAATTTCATATACCGTCCGGTGGCTGGCGGGTCCGTCATAACGCTCTCTACCTGCTGGAGAAACTGGTCGTCCAGGCTCTTTGCAAGGGTCGCGAACCTCACGTTATCGGCCGTAATGTTCGCCGCGTCTAGTTGCGTTTCCAACAATGTAAACCAAACAGTAATGTTGGAGGGTTACAGCGAAGGCATTGTAATCGCGACACTACCCGTAACCTTAACATCGTCTTTCGTAGTCGCCATCTTAATGTTTTCTACCACGTCGGGGTCACCAATGTGGAGGTTGTTTACTCATGTTCAACTCCGGGGTTACCAATTTGTAGAGGTTTATGTGTAGAGGGCGGACTCGTTAATTAGATCGCTAATAATTCGTTGATAACTGGTTGATAACTGATCGACAACTGACTGTAAGTCATTTCCTTGCGATCGCGTCCGTTTATTTATACTTGTTGAGATATGTATAATTTTCTGTGCTAGACTGGGTTAAATGCGTAATAGAGATGCTTGTATGTGAGTGTCGGTGTGTGGAGGTGTGTGTGTGTGCGGCGTCTCGGAAACAGATGAGTGTAAACTAGTCAGTCGGTTAACAGTCGGGTGAGGAAGAAAGTGCTGAGACGCGTGCAAGTGAGTATCGATGAATATATAAGGAATCGTCCATGAAATAAATATATTACTATTTTAATATGAATCCTCAGTGTAAATTTAGTGTTCCTATAACATTATTTCGGCTTCAAAGATCCACAATTCTCAACAATACTAGTGAGGGCAGAAACGGAAAATTCGAATTCGTCTACGTTTGACGGTTGCACGAAGCGGCGACATTGTTTTGCCCGGAGTTTATTTGTTCTTACATTACTTGGAACCTAATGGTCTTGATACTCCGAAGCAAAACAACAACATGATTTGAATTGTTCTCTAAATCATGTGCTGCTATATATTATAACCTGTTAACCTCAGTGTTATACTAAGTCAACCACCTCTATTATCCTAACAGAATTGAGGGAACAAACAGTCACCAAAGAAGAATTTTGGACATTCATCGCAGTTATTATAAATATGGGGACAATGCCAGTGGCCAATATACAACAATATTGGTTAAGGCATCAAGCAAGCCACATTCCATTTTATTCCGATACATTTACAAGAGATAGATTTACGCAAATTTTTCGGATGTTACATGTGAAAATAGTTTTAGCACAAGGTACTAACTCTACAACACGTTTGCAGCTGATAAGTAGTTATCTTGATTATATAAACTCCAAATTTTTGAACTATTTTATAACGAGTGAGCAAATTTCCGTCGATGAGTTTCATGTAAAATTCAAAGGTCGAATTTCGTTTATCACGTGCAAGCCGAAAGAAACCCAACAAAGCGGGGTATTTGAATCTATACATTAGCAGATCCTAATACTTGCTGCGTTATCACAAAGCACAGTTGTTATTTTACTTTTCAATTACCAATTCTGAAATACAGCCTCTAAATTATCCGCACTTACTTTTCAGAGAGAATAGTTATATATTCCCGGGTTTTATTTGCGGAATTCTGCCTTATTATGAGAGCCTTACAACGCAAACATTGATAAGACCGGACCTTCCAGTATCCACTAGAATTCCATTACACTTGTATACAATGTTATTGAATAAAATACCCAGATCGCAAAGACATCATATGTTTACAGACCGTTATTACACCAATTACATTTTGGCTACTGAATTGCATAAATTAAAATGTTATTTGACCGGCACAATATTGATAAATAGAAAAGAGTTGCCAGATGGGATAAAAAACTTAAATCTGAAAAAAATACCGATGACAGCTTATCGCATGAATAATAATTTGGTTCTACCGTGGAAGAATAAAAGGATCGCCACATTATTGACAAATTGGCATAATGCAGAGATGCATATCGTGGAAAGAACTCTCGGCCATGGAACTTGCACTGTCGTCAAAGAAGCTATTGTACTTATAAATTACATCAAGTTTGTGGGAGAAGTTGGTAGCGCGAGTTATTTGGGGGGGGGGTGGAAATTTCTTTAATTAATTTATATATTCTATATAGATTAGTAAAAAAGAAAAAGAACGAAAGGTCACTTAACCACCTGTGATTTACCTATAAAAACTTTAGTAGACTAGTTGAGAGGAGATTTTCGACAACCGCGAGATCGAGCTTCGACGTGAACTGCTAATTGTGATGAAATTCGGTTAAGTGGAAAGTTCCATGTAATTTTAAGAGAATGGTTAATCAGAATACGAAGAATCAAAAGAGAATTGGATAGATAACAATACCTTGTGTCCCTATAGATTTATGTACAAATATGAATATTAATATGAATTCTCTCCGGCAAAATAAGTACGGATAGTTTAGAAGTTGTATTTCAGAATTGGCAATTGTAAAGTAAAATAACAACTGTAGTTTCTGATAACGTAGCGAGTATTAATTCTGCAATCAGAATGCTTGAACGACCTAACATTATCAGTGATATGTGTCGAAGTTTAGTGACATGTATCAAATATAGCAGTACCGTAGCGAAAGACAAATTGCAAAGAATGCAGAATCTTGTCAATACCAACCAAATTGGTAACAGACGTGGCAACAAGATGGAACTCTACATATCAAATATTCAATAGACTAATCTAACAGCAATGGGCTGTAATATTAACTTTGTCAACATTAATATTATCATTTTGAATTATTAACAGATTTAGAGTGGAATGCCCTTAGCATAATTGCACCCACTTTAGTGATATTTTTCATACTTGCAGAGGAAATTGATAGAGATAAAATAAATTTGTCTAAAATAATAGCCATTAAAAAGCAACTAATAATTCCATTATATACATCCATGGAATACATTTACCTTGCGACAACAATTAATATATTGTATGGTTTATTACATAAGAGCTGTTGAAGATAATAATTTTTATGTACTAAATACATTATTAGACTCGAGGTTTAAAATTCTGGCCGCAAAGCATTGATTCAGATGACAATATATCGCTTTGGTTGTTCTCGATACCGAAGTCAAAACTACAAATATAAATGTCTCTAAGTAATCTGCAACTGCGATTGAAACAAAAAATTATTTAACATCGACATATGTAAGTAAATAGTAAAAGAGATTCCAATATAAAATATTAACAAATATCCTATTTCATTTTTTATCTGAATGCCCTCAATGTTAATAAAGTTAATTAATTCTTTCTTGGTCAAAATTCTTTCAGCCATCTTTCGGGACAGGAATTTGGTATCCTTGTGAAAGTGGAAGAAGGATATAAGTTGGAAACTCTAGAAACTCTAGTCGGAAACTTGGCTATAGTTATTCAGATCCTCGAACGGGATATATCGAAATTCAATCTCTGAGTTAAACTCACAGACTATTATACAGTTCATTTTAAAAGTCGTGAACCACTAAGTACTAGCAAAGCGACAGGCAGATTAAATCTTAATGCCACAAAGGAACTTTGGAATATATATAAATCTAAATCATAGTTATTTTCAAATTTCTATTTAAATTGGAATTGCTAAAATCCGTCACATTCCCATTTGGTAATGAGCCCAAAGCATTACACTCACTTCGAGACAAATTGTTTACTAAATCCTCCAAATAGATTAATAAGTGGACAGTTATATGGTCTAACAAATCTGTAAATATACCTCAGCAATGGTTATATATGACTTTGACATAGGATAGTATTTCTTTTTTTGCTTTTAAGAA